ATTGATAGTTCAAAATTTTTATAAAGTATTTCTTTAATGGCTGAATATGTTACTGAATTTGACAGTTTTTTCAGCATTAATAAATTGTGTAAATAAATCTATTTCTGTGATGTATTTTACATTTATATTTTCTTCCAGTACATTTATTTTTCATTTTATTTTACTTCTGCTGAAACAAACACAAAATCATATCAAGTAAACAAATAAAAAATAAAAAATTTTCATACTTGTAACCAAAAGTAAAATATTCACGCATTTTAAGAAAGAAAAAAAATTACTGTTCAACTTTTTTAAATCATGTAAATAAAAAAAAGTAATAACTTGCCTCAGTTCCCTTTAAAATATTTGAAAAGAGGAAATGTTAATTATTTTAAAAATGTATAACACAGTAGAGGCAAGTTAACACTTTTGAAAAAATCTAAGATTTAATCTGATTTTTTGTAAAAACCAATAACATAAATTTATAACATAATTACATAATTAAGTTTTCAAAGCTTTGAAAAAAAAAAATTAAAAAAATAACAAATTTTTAATTTATTTATTCAAAAATATATTCCATATCGAATTAAAAACAATTTTTACATAAGCCGTTTATCAATTTTCATGTCGGTAAATTCAGTTTGAATAGAAACTAACCAAATTTACTAAACTTTAAAAGATACACAAAAAAATTGGATACTCAAATTCAACTTCAAAATTGTATATCATCACTTAGAAATTAACTAGAACATTTTTTTTTTATTTATTCACAGTTTATTTGATTTTCTAAATAAATAAATTTTATAGACTTTCTCAAACAAATTTTTTTTGTCTATTTCCACCTCTGGGCTCATTGTGCTGTTGTCATCTATTACAAGTAAAATTGGAAATGTCTCCTTTTTGTGTAAATTCAGATGATTTGAATCATAATGTTGGATTTATCAATGAAGTTATGCATAAAACTATTAATCATATTAAAACTCATCTTTGTCTCACAATTACTAAAATTCATTTTTTAAATGGCTGTACAGGGCAGTATAAAAACTGCAAACATTTTTACAATTTATATCACCATGCTCATTCTGTTTTTTGCATTTGGAATTTCTTTGTAACAAGCCATGGTAAATCTCCTTGTAATGGAATAGGTGGCACTGTTAAAAGGCTTGTTGCAACTGCTAGCTTGTAGAGTCCAACCGCAGGTCAAATACTTTCTTTTCAAGCAATATTTGAATACTGTCAAAAGTCAATCAGTATGTTTTTGTATGTCACTGCTGAAGAAATGGAGCTAGTAAGAAACAAACTTACAGATAGACTTTCCATCAATTTATACTTTCTTCTCAAAGATATCAGATATTAATGATTTTGCTCTAACATTTGACTTCCTCAATAAACAAAAATATGAAACTATTAAAATTGACTATGTTGTGATGTCACAATACCTATTTTGCAAATACGACGAATTTTACTGGCTTGATATGGTTACTGAACTTGATAAAGAGAATGATGATTTTATAGTAAAGTTTATGCATCCACATTATATCCAAGTTGGTCGTACTACTGGTCAAAGCGGGATGATAATTGCTAGGTGCCAAGAATGAATATTAATTCTCTTGTTAATATTTTACTTTTATTAATATTTTACTTTTATTATTTAAATGATATTAACTTCAATTTTAATAATATTGGATTATTCCTTTTATTTCTATTTTTGAGTTTTTTTCAATAAAGCAGTTTTTTTGCTATTTTTCAAAAAAATTTGCATTTTAGTTTCTCATTTTTTAACACAACATTTGAGCATGCAACTTAAAATTTGAGCATGCAATAAATATTTTGAAACAGTACTTAATTATTAGACATTAAGTAATAATGTTAAGTTAAATTATCGATTATAATTAATACTTAATTTAATGCTGCCGCTGCTGCATATTTGTGCGCGTTCACACAGACTTTTTTACCATTTATTATAAATAGGATTTAGCATACTCCTTTTTTTTATACTTTTGAACTCACGCGATGAAGTACTCTCAAATCTCAATAACCTGCCAATATCTGCTTAATCAATAATAAGATCGAGAACTTTGCTTCATCATTTTAATTAGTAATAAGATCAACAATTTTATTTGATAGCTTCTGTAGTAAAGGATGAAGCTTATGTTATTTTTGAATTTGTAAAGTAACTTTTATTATTTGTCAATTGTATTTAAAGTATATTAATCTGTAATTTCTAAATTAGACGACGATGATGACTCTAGAAAACGTTGCTCTTTTAAAAGGTCAAACTCTTAATAAAGTTAGTATTTATCTCCAAATTTTACCTTATTTTAAAGAAGTTATAAAAAAAATCTGCTTGCTATTATATAAAAAACCAGATCATTTAATTGTTTATTTTTGCAAGTTGTTAAACATTACGAGGTATGTCATCAAACAAATATTACAAAAATAAGGTTGTATTTGTAAAGTTTCTAATTTATATATTTTTCTTAATATATTTATTTATATTTGTGTGTTATTTATATTTGTGTGTTATTTATAAGTGTTTATATTTATTAAAATTATATGTGTTTATATTTTGTAAATATCTTTTATATATGAAGTATTTCTATGTTTGTGATATGTTATTTATTTATAGTTTGTAAGTGGTTATTATGTTGTTTGCATGGTTTCAAATTTGTTGTGACTTGGCTTAGTTTACAGCAAGAGTGTTGACCTTCCTAACCAAGTGGTGTACTTTCCTATAATGTGACTTGGCTTTGTTGGGAGCAAGATTGTTGTCCATGCCAGTTAAGTGGTGTACTGTCATGATGTAACACATAAGTTAAATCTGTTTGTAGTTAGTGTAGTCATTAAAAGTGTTGAAAAAATATTGTTGAAAGTATGTATGTTGAAAGTATGTTGAAAGTAAGTGTATTTATAAGAAACATTGAAAAGATATATAGTTTTTTAATATCTATAATATCTATATTTTTTTTAATATTTATAATTTTAAAGTCTAAGCAAATATCTGACGTAAACTTCAAACTATGTAAATTATTAAAAATTATATTAAATGTTACACATTTACTTTTACTTGAAAATTTTATTAGAACAATATTTTCTTAATTTTATAACAAATTTAGTGCCATTTTATAAAGGTTTATAAACAACTTAATGCCGTTTTACAAAGTTCGATAATTCTTTAGTTTATTAAACTGTTAAAAGACAATATTGTAGCATGCCAAATTTGAAGTAATCCGTTGTAATAGTTGAAGTAAAGGTCTAAACCTTTTCATTTTCACACTTAATTTTTTTATCAAAGTAAAGCAATTTTAAAGGTCTATAGAGATATCATATATCATATATAAAGATATACTATAAAAAATGAAAGGGAGAGAATTTTTTTAATGCTTTTTAAAATTTCTAGAAATGCAAAAACACCGTTCAAAGTTTTTTGCACGCCTATGTCACATTAAAGAGATAATTTTCTTTTTTATAGAAAAAAATTTTTACATGGAAACTTTACTTTTCTTTAAAATTATTAGGGCAAGATTCCTAATAACAGGGATCTTTTTAGCGGATAGCTAAAACATTTTCTATACATATACAAGTTTAGGAATACATTTTTGTAATATATTTGTTTTTTAAGCTTTTACACTCATCACTCATACTATAATTAAAAAATATTTTACAAGAAGTTTACAGTAGTTGTAAAATATTGAAAGTTAATTGTTAACTCAAAACAAAGATTTTTATATTTTGGTCTTTTTTAAAAATTATTGAAATAAAAAAGAAATTATTTAAATACCATGTGGAATAGACTTACCATGACCAGTAGTATATATATATTTATTAATAATTATACGGGTCATGGTAAGTCAGTTATTCCACATATTTAAGTTATCTCATGTTTTTTAAAATTTTTTTATACCAATGGTATTTAATTAACACATTTCAAGGGGGTGTTCTAAACATTATTTAGGCTGGTACTGATATCCGATTTGTTGACAAATAGCGACTCAATCAGCAGCGTCTACCGAAAAGTTAAATGTAATAGAAAATTTATCTTATAGCTTTAAAAAGTAAACAATAAGTATTGTTATTATATATGTATTTAATTATTTTTCTACCTCTTACGAAAATTTATTGAAGTAAGAAATAAGTATAGAAAAGGTCAGTGTGGAATAGATTTACCTTGACCTGTATTTTACAGGTCATGACAGCTAGTTATAATTAATAAACAATGAAATTATATTTTCAATGTGATATATTGCAATATTAATTATAACCATGCGTAATGTAAACCATGGTTATGAAACAAAAAATTTGACTGTTGATATTTAAAAATTAAAAAATTATTCTCAAATACTAGGAATTGGGTTATTTTCATCTTTGTTTCAACACCTTTAAAAATGGTCAGATACCAGTTTTCAGTCATATTCTTTCTCCAGAACATAAATTTTTCACAAAATCGCTATAAATTCTATAAAGAAAAAGAATCACTATAAATTCTATAATGGAGAATGGAGGCCAAAGAAAGGATTTTTTTGTCTAAATTTCCAGGAGTTAATGAAAGCGCAACCCATGGTAACAGAACAAGAAATTTAACTGACCATTTTAAAATCAGAAAATAATTATCAAAATATTTAAATTTCAAAATTTTTTCATCATTTTTGAATTCAGTACCCTCAAAAATGGTCAGGTACCAGTTTTTAGCCACATTCTTACACTAGATCTTAAATCATTCAATAAAAAATACTACAAAATTCATAATAGCAGATTTGGTATAAAAAAAAAAGGAACAATTTATTAAATTTTTAATTTAATTTTAAAAAACGTCATAACTTTTAATAATAGAAATAATCCGCAACTTTTACTTAAAAAAGGTAATTATAATGTTCCATAATAAAAATAAAAATTTCTTTGTTTTTCTAACTTACTAGATATGTAAACAGCATGAATATCAAATGAAATTTTTATGCAAACTTTTTTTCATAAATATAATATTACATATATTATACATATAGACACTAAATCATAAATCCTACCTGTTGAACACTTTTTTGAACTCCATTATCAGTTTGATTGAGTATATCGCAATCTAAAAGAAACGCTCTAGACTCTTTCAAATATGTAAATATGTCATCAAAAATTTTATTTACTCTTCTCTTTGCACGAACAAAACGCTGTAATGGTGAGTTTATAGGCCCATCAACTACATTATTCAACATGCTTTTGTCAGACTGTATTGAATTTGTTTTTTTGAAAGGTTTTCCTGGTGGCATTTTATAAAATTAAAAACTCTTCTACCAAATAAAATTTCATCAAATTTTATCCATTAAAAAAGTAGTTTCAACTTCAGTAATTTAAATTAATTGAAAGTTGGTGAATATTATTTGTAGGTTGCCCAGGTGACATTTTACTAAAATAAAAAGATTTTTGTAATTAGAGAAATTTTTTATAAAAAATATCTAAAGTGAGAAATTTAAAATGAGAAACATTTCTGGGAAAAGAAAAAAAACATTTTTTTATGAAAACTGATAAAAATAATACATTTACTGATTAAAATAAAATTACAAATAAATTCATTTAAAACTTATTTAATTTATTTCTTTTTATCACTAAACATTTTCATCGTTATTTATTATATAAAAAAAAAATTTAAATCAAGAAACAACAAAGTTTATATATCAAAATTATTATATAATTACATTTTAAAATTTTATTAATTTATCAAATTTAAAATTATTTCTGCGAGAGTAGTTCAAAAGTTAAATGAAGTCATTTAGGATATAAGATTCAAAAATTTGCAATTTATACAAAAAATAACAAATCTCAGAAGTAAAATTTTTCAGAGTAATTTGTAATAAATTTCAGTTAGAGTAAAATGTTAACAAGATGATCAATTTCACCATTTAGCTAAAGGTCATGAAGCAAAATATTAACAAAATGTTTACACCCAAAAAAAAATATTTTAACAATGTGTTGCATTCTAAAAAATTGATAGTATTGCACTGTTAATAATTTTCAAATTAAGAAAAAAAAATAACATATAAAATTTTTTTCAAGAAAAGTCAAAGTGAATAGACTTTTAAGGTAAAAAAGCAGTGGAATTAACTCTCAAAGAAATCCAAACAAATTTTAACAGAAAATAGACAGAAAGCATTCTGGAATTATTTAAAAAAGCAACAAATTTTTTAAAAGACAATAATCACAATCAGCTATGCTATATCTTTTATTGCACCCAGAGAAACAGAAACCACAAATTTAATCTGTGAACAACCATTGCAACCACAAGTAAACTCTGAAAAGCATGTATTCTTAAATTTGTGTAGCACTACTTGTTACTAAGTTTTGAAGTCAGAAGTGGAGAAAAAAAATTATTAAAAAAGTAGTTAAAATAAATAATAAAAAATTTTTATGTTAATATTCTTCGTATGTAAATAGATGCAATAGAAAATAGCACTAGATAGTTGTTTGTTTTGAAATTAATCATAACCTTGATACATTAAGAAAGTAATATTCTTAATGTATCAAGGTTATGATTAATTTCAAAACAGTTTGAGATTAATCATAACCTTGATACATTATAACAATCAATTGAGATTAATCATAACCTTGATACATTAAGAAAGTAATATTCCCTTTTTAAAGAAAATTTGTTTAGCCATTTTCAGTCTTTAGTTCATTATAGTATAAATTTTTAAGGATGCAACACACTGAATCTAGTTTTTTAACAAGTTATTTATCTTGAAAGTTATTTAACTTTAAAATTTGTGGAAAAGAGCATAGGAAACAATTTTTTAAATGTGTTATTTTCTAAGCAATAAAATTTTGAATGATATTACATTTTTAGTATACTAGTTTTGAATTAATTATACATATGTATATATATATATATATATATATATATATATATATATATATATATATATATATATATATATATATATATATATATATATATATATATATATATATATAACAATAATAATAATAAAATAGAAGGTACTTTATATTTCAATCCAAAATTTAATAAAAATACTTATTACATCTCAATAAATAAAGTAATAGTTAATAAATAGAGCTATTGACAGCATTAACTAAAGGAGAAAATATATTGATTTACTGGCTTGTAAAATTGTGGCATTGGCTTCGCCTTGAAAAACTTGTTTTGAAAAAAAAAATTATTACAATGCAATTGTTGAAAACACACTTTATTGATTGAAAAACACAAATTAATTTTCAATTCAAAATTATCATTAAAAACAAATATTCAATTTATATTATTTATTATAATTATTCCATCGATACATATCTGATATAGATATATTTTTACATTTCAAGTTTTTGAATTTTTATTTCATGAAAAAGAAACATTAGTTCAAATATTTTTTTCTTTATTTTGTAGCTGAGTCTTTTTAAAAAATGATATTTTGAAAAAAAGTACATCATCTATAATAAAAAAGCATAGTAAAAGAGTAATCAATTGATATTAGAGAAATCTGTTTAAACATCTACGTTTATAAACTATTAATAACTTGATTTGTTAAAAGCTTATTTCTTCGCGGTATTAAAACAATAGTTTAGTTTTGTCAGTACAAAACCATCAGAGTTATAAAACTGAATGCTTTTGATTAAATGTTAAGATAAGGCATAGAAAGTGCACCTGTCGTATATTTACCAATAAATGAGAAAGGTTCCATAAATAACTTAAGTTAAAAAACCAATCAATACAAAAATGACGCATTTGTTTTCAATATTATAAATAACTAATAAATACATTGATTGAAAAATGCCTTTTAACAAAGAAGGCACTAAAAGTTCTTCATTAAAAAGTAATAAAAAAAAATTAAAAATTGACTATTAATAAAAACTTATAAACAAGACCGGCGCGGAGGATGAGGGGGTGGGGGATGTGGGTGAGACCCCCACACCATTGAAGTTTTCGTTTATTTAATCGGCAAATATTACCCTTTTATAAAAGGGTCAAAATTTGCCGACTGACTTGTCTAATTAGACAAATTAGTCGGCAAATTTCAAAAAACAAGATCTTTTTTTCTCGCGCTGGCCCTACTTATATATACAAAAATATAAAAAGAAAAATATATATAAAATATATAGATAAATATATTTATTTACGCGATATGTCGGATAAAAAACGTCAATCGATTAAAAGACTTAAAATCGGTTGTTATATTGCAGTTTTGTTTTGTGGTTGTTGTTTTTTCTTATTATGGAAAAAATGCAGAAATCATGCAATCTTCAGATATAAACACTTGATACATTTAGTTTTCAGTTTTATATGTCAACGAATTTAATTTATTTTGTTTTCAAAAAGTTTTTAATTAAGAATAAAGGAACTGAACTGAAGTTTTGAAATTATAAAACTATAGTATAAAACGATTTTGTTTTTCAACCAACAACTTTTTGTTTTTCATGTTTAAACCGAATTAAAATATGAAAAAATAATTCTTCAACATATTAGGATTTTAATCAACCACTTTTCAACCTACTTTATTATTTGTAACTAACTGCTTTCCCCACGGCTGTCCCGAAAAGGTCTTCCATGGGGGGTGTATGAACTTTTTGCCGACTAGAAACACCGAAAAAAAAAAAAAAAAAAGGTCCCCATTATTTGCAATTTGCCAATTATAGTTCAAAACTTGCTCAATGTGCCAACTCAAATGCTTATATGGCAGCTTTGATGGGGGGGGGGGGGGGGGAGCACTCCCGTCGACCCCCTCCCCTTCCTTCAAAACGGCCCTAGCTTTCCCGATCAAATTAATAACTAAGTATTTTCTGATATATATATATATATATATATATATATATATATACATGGCCGTAGAGAGGGGGTAAGGGGGTATATTGTCCTGGGGCCTGGCTCTGTTCAAGGCCCCGGACTTGTGAATTATAAAGTATTATATTTGCCTTTTTAAATATACTGCATTTGGATTGGTTGTTCTAATTACAGTTTTTAACATTAGTATCATTATATAAGGTATAAAACATTCAATTATAAAAATTGCTTTATTTATTAAATTATATGACGCTTAAGATCAGTGACGTAGCGAATAATTTTGCGACCGGGGCAAAAATGAAATAAATGCGCTTTTTTACAATAAAATTAAGAAATTATTACTTTTTATGTTAAAATTGGGTTCATTTTTTTTTGCTCCTCAATTTTTTGGGCCTCTTAAAGCCTTCGCGACAGACCTCATTTACGCTTTGGTCTCCCCTCACCCCGCTAATGTTTAGGAGTGTTTGTTGCACATTCTGCTTTATAATACATACCATCGATCTATCAATGACATATCTTTAGTATGGTATATTATATCATATAGAGAATGTTTTATTTACCGGAATGATAATTAATGCCAATTTATATAAAATCTTATTTAGTAGTCAAATAAAAAATGAACTACAATCACAAATCTGGATCTCAAAAAAGGAAAGAAAAATTGTAGAGATTGAAAAATGTAAATGAAAAACAAACTCTACTTCAAAGTTATGGATTTTCAGTGTCTTCAAAAGAGAAAGATTTAGAAAATGAATATCATAACGTAGAAGCTATTTTTAACAATAACGACAACGTTGTTGAACTAGCTGCAGATTTAATTAATGTGACTGCCGACTTTCCAGATTCTGATAGCATAGAAAATAAAGATGACATGGATCCCGGCAATCCTTTAGTTTCTATCAACAATATCTCTGAGAATTATAAATCAAATATAACTGATAATAAAATCACTAAAACAAAACTGCTTGACTTAGATGTTGGTAGTCTAAAAAATGAAAGACCAAATGCTTCTGAAATGGAGGAAGCAGTTTGTAGGGGTCCAGAAAAGATCTTATCTCAATTTCCAAAAGATGTGAACGGACATTCAATTCCTGTTTGTATACTACATACAAGTATGAAAAATGGAGAATATGTTCCCCGTGATTGGCTTGTTTGGAGCAAAGTTAAACAATCGATATTTTGTTTTCCTTGTCGCATTTTTAGCAAACTACCAACAGCAAGTCGCTCACGTTTAACAACTATATCTGAGTATTGTTTTCAAAGAAAATGGAAAAAATTACATGACAAAATTCCAGAGCATCAAAACAGCAGCAACCATAAATATTGTTATATTAAATGGCGGCTATTGGAAAAAAGTATTAATTCCACTGTCGATATTATGCTGCTGCAGACCATTAAGAATCAATCACAGTGGAAACAGGTACGCCGAATTTTAGATGTGACATTGTTTTAGCCGAACGAGGTTTGGGATTTAGAGGAACAAGTGATTTAGTTGGAGTTGCAGCAAATGGCAATTTTGGAGCTATTCTGTCTTGAATGACCATCTGAACAAAGTGATGAAGTCGCAGAAATTGAAGAGAAAACAACAAGCAAATTACCTTTCACCGGAAATACAAAATGAGTTTATAGAGTGTTGTGCCAAAAAAGTATTAGACGTTATTCAAAGTGAACGAGAAGCAGCAAAATATTACTCAATATTTGTTGATACAACCCTTGATTCAGCACATATGGAACAAACTGTATTTATATTGCGTTATGTTTATTTAAATGAAGAAAATAGTCTCTACGAAGTTCAAGAGCGATTTCTAGAGTTTGAGAAAACGGGGAAAGCTATTGCTGAATTAATTTGCAGTGTTATTAAAAAACACAATATACCAATGATAGACTGTCGTGGTCAAGGTTATGACAACGGTAGCAACATGAGCGGTCAATATAAAGGAGCACAAGCAGAGATAATTAAAGAGAACCAATTGGCAATTTATTCTCCATGTGCTTGTCATAACCTAAATCTGTGAGGCGTCCATGCCGCAAAGTGCTGTGCAGAGGTTATAAACTTCTTCGGTGTTGTGCAAAAGACTTATAATTTGTTTAGCTCTAGCCCGCAAAGATGGCAAATTTTAAAAGAAAACATTGGATGCTCTTTGCATAGCATGTCAAATACACGTTGGTCAGCCAGGATTGAAAGTGTAAAACCTTTTGCAGAACATGTTCCTGGTTTAAAGAGTGCTATCCAAGACTTAAAAAAGCTAAATCTTACTGCCGAGACTCGATCAGATATCAAACGTATTGAGAAATACTGGGTTCATTTGAGTTCATTTGAGTCAATTGAGAGAAATATTGGGTTCATTAGAGTGCATTATACTCGCAAGCATTTGGTTTAAAGTTCTAACAAGCATCAATTACAGATCAATTACAAGCATCAATTACAGAAACACAGTTCTGAAAGCCAGAGATGCAACTTTAGATGTGGAGGATTTAAATTTAAAAAGCTTATTTGATGACCTTTTATTATTGAGAAACAACTGGGATTCAATTTTAAATGAATGTAAACTTGTTGCCAAAAATCTGGGTATGGTTTCCAATGACATATTCCCGGAGAAAAAACGCAGCCGAAAAGCTAGATTTTCAGATGAGGAACAGAATAATAAATTAGGCAACACCAGTGCAGAACTTTGTTTCAAGCGCGATGTTTTTTATGTTCTTTTAGACTGTGTCATTGGTAATATGAATCGGCGTTTTGAGGCAGCCAAAGATCTTGAGGAAACATTTGGTGTTGTATGGAAATACATGACATTATATAAAGATCTGTTGCGTGAGAAAGCTTCATCTATTTGCGTTAAATTGCATTGA